ACGACGGCGACGACGACGGCGACGACAACGACGACGACAGCGGCGGCAACGACGGTGGCAACAGCGGCGAGGACGACGATGACGACGAGGACGACGACGAGGACGACGACGACAACGACGACGACGCCGACGCCGACGCCGACGCCAACGCCGACATCGGCCACGAATACGGCGAAGATGAATACGGCGACGACGACAACGACGACGACGGCGACGACGACGGCGACGGTGAGGACGACGACGACGCCGACGACGACGACGGCGGCGGCGACGGCGACGACGACGGCAGCGACGGACAGCGACGGACGGCGACGGACAGCGACGGACGGCGACAACGGCGACGGGGACAGCGACGGACAGCGACGATCGAGGCTCGCGGCGCTTCCACAGCGCACCCGCCGACACCTGGTGCAGATGGGGACGGTGAACCGCCCGGGGGGATCCAAGCAAGAATGAGGGAGAGTTTGACTTGAAGGAAACGGGGGGGCGGGGAGGAGGAGGAAAAAGAGGAGGAGGAGGAAAAGGAGGAGGAAAAGGAGGAGGAGAGGGAGGAGAAGGAGGAGGAGGAGGAAAAGGTAGAGGGGAGAAGGAGGAGGAGGAGGAGGAGGAGGAGGAGGAGGAAAAGGAGGAGGAGGAGAAGCAGGAGAAGGAGGAGGAGGGGGAGGAGGAGGAGGAGGAGGATGAGGAGGAGGAGGAGGAGGAGGAGGAAGAGGGGGAGGAAGAAAAGGAGAAGGAGGAGGAGAGGGAGGAGGAGCAGAAGGAGGAGGAGCAGGAGGGGGAGAAGGAAGAGGAGGAAGAAGGGAGGAGGAAGAAGGAAGGAAAAAGTAGCAGAAAGGGAGGAACGCGGAAAGGAGGTGGAGGAGCCCTGGCCGGCCCCTCGCGGGAGCAGCGGAATGGTGGTGGGCTTACCTGTCTTTTCGGCGCCTCGTTCATCGAACGGGTTTCGATATGAATGGATGCAAATGTTACGGGGGCAAAAAGGAAGTGAGGAGAAGAGATGGGGGAAAGGAAGAGAGGGGCAGAAAGGGAGGAACGAGGAGGAGGTGGCGGAAGAGATGGAGGCGACGCCGGAGACGGAGGAAAAGACGAAGGAGGCGCAGGGGAAGGCCAGGAGGAGCAGGCGGAACGGGTCGGCGACGGCGGCGCGGAGACGGCGGCGACGGCCGCGGCGGCGGCGGCGGCGGACGGCGGCGGCGGCGAGGCGGCGGCGCGCTTGTGCGCGCGTCGCCGCTCGCGGATGGCGAGCACCGCCCGCGCGGGCGCGGTCACAGGAAGCCGCGGCCCGCCGCGGCCGCGGCCGTCGGCTGCGGGCGCCGGCGCCGCGCGGGGCGCGCCTGCGGAGCCGCCGGCGCGCCACCCTCGCCGCCGTCGAGGTCGTCGTCGTCGTCGTCGGTCGTCGTCATCGTCGTCGTCGCCGTCGTCGTCGTCGGCGACGTCATCGACATCGCCACCGCCGCCGCCGTCACCATCGTCGCCGCCGTGGTCGTCGTCGCCGTCGCCGTGTTCATCGCCATCGCAATCACCGTATTCGTCGTCGTCGTGACCGTCACCGTTCGTCGTCGTCGACGAACTCGCCGTCTTCGTCGTCGCCGTATTCGTCGTCGTCGCCATCGCCGTGTTCGTCGCCGTCGCCGTGTTCGCCGACGTCGCCATTGTCGTCGCCGTCGTCGTCGCCGTCGCCGTACTCTTCGTCGCCGGTCGGCGTCATCGTCGCCGACGTCGCCGACGTCGCCATCGTCATCAACGTCATCGTCGCCCCCGCCGTCGCCGTCGACGTCGTCGTCGCAGTCGTCGTCGTCGTCGTCGTCGTCACCGTGGCCATTGCCGTCGTCGTCGTCGTCGTCGCCGTCGCCGTCGCCGTCGCCGTCGTCGCCGTCGCAGTCGCCGTCGTCGTCGTCGACGTGGCCGTCGCCGTCGCCGTCGTCGTCGTCGCCGTCGTCGCCGCCGTGGCCGGCGTCGTCGTCACCTTCGTCGCCACCGACGTCGTCGTCGTCGGTCGTCGTCATCATCGTCGTCGTCGACGTCGCAGTATTCGTCGTCGTGGCCGTCGCCGTCGCCGTCGCCGTCGCCGTCGCCGTCGTCGTGGCCGTCGTCGCCGTCGTAGTCGCCGTCGTCGTCGCCGTCGCCGATGTCGTCGTCGTCGCCGATGTCGTCGTCGTCGCCTTGTTCGTCGTCGTCGCCAAATTCGTGGCAAATGTCGTCGCCTTCGCCGTTGCCGTATTCGTAATCGTCGCCGTCGCCGTCGCCGTCGCCGTCGTCAACGCATTCAACGTGTTCGCCGTCGTCGTGGCCGTGGCCATTGCCCTCGTCGTCATGGTCGCTGCCGTCGGCGTCGACGTCGCAATATTCGTCGCAGTCGCTCGCCGTCGTCGCCGTATTCGTCGTCGTCGTCGCCATCGTCGTCGTCGTCGCCATCGACACTGCCGACGTCGTCGCCGCCGTCGACGGCAGAACCTATCATCACATTCGTCGTCCACGAAGCCGTCGTCGTCGTCGTCGACGTCATCGTCGTCGCCGCCGCCGCCGTCGCCGTCGTCGCCGCCGTCGTCGCCGTCGCCGTCGCCGTCGTCGTCGTGTTCGTCGTCGCCATCGCCATCAGCGTATTCGAAATCGTTGTCGTCGCCGTCGCCGTCGCCGTCGTCGTCGCCGTCGCCACCGTCGTCGCAGTCACCGTATTCGCCGTCGTGGCCGTGGCCATCGCTGTCGTCGTCGTGGTCGCCGTGGCCGTCGCCGTATTCGCATTCGTCGTCGCCGTAATTCGTCGTCGTCGTCACCATCGCCGCTGTTGCCACCGCCCGACAGTCGTCGTCGTCGCCGTATTCGTCGTCGTCGTCGCCGTCGCCGTGTTCGTCGTAGTCGTCGTCGCCGTCGTCGTCGTCGCTCGCGTCGTCGTCGCCGTCGTCGTCGTCGTAATCGTCGTCGTCGTTGTCATCGACGTCGTCGCCATGGTCGTCGTCGTTGTCATCGACGTCATCGTCGTCGTGGCCGCCGCCACCGTCGTCGTCGTCGTCGCCGTGTTCGTTGTCGTCGTGGCTGCCGTCTTCGCCGCCGTTTTCGTCGCCGTATTCGTCGCCGTCGCCGTCGCCGTATTCGTGGTCGTCGTCGTCGCCGTCTTCGTCGTCGTCGTCGCCGCCGTCGTCGTCACCGTCGCACAGTTCGTCGTCGTCGCCGTCGTCGCCATCGTCGTCGTCGCCGGCGTCGTCGTCGTCGCCGTCGTCGTCGCCGTCGTCGTCGTCGTCGTGGCCGCCGCCACCGCCGTCGTCATCGCCAACGTCGCCGTGTTCGTTGTCGTCGTGGCCGACGCCGACGCCGCCGACTTCGTCGCCGTCGCCGTCGCCGCATTCGCCGTCGTCGCCGTCGTCGTGGCCATCGTCGCCGTCGCAGTCGCCGTCGTCGTCGCCGTCGCCAGCGCCGTCGCCGTCGAAAGGCTGAAGTGGGCTGCTTGGGAGCGTCTTGGACCACGATTATTATTGCTTATTTTCATTAGTAGTATTCGTATTACTCTTATCATTGTTATTAGTGTAATCCCACCAGCCCTTTTGGGCGTGAGTGGTTTAGCGAGCTCTCTCTGTTCTCAACCCCCCAACCCCCCCTTTTCCCCTTCGGGGAGGGGTTTACCCCTCCCCCTACCCCCTCCCCCTGGGCCTGGAGAAGGAGTCCCGCGGGTGGTCAGGGGAGTCTTTTTCGACGCCTGGGAGGGCCAAAAAACGACGACCCTCACGAGGATTCTGGCCCCGACGGGGGGACCCTCTTGTAGCCCCCTCCTCTTCTGTGAAGCCAAAATCATTGTTTGTTACGAGGGTTTTGGCCCCGTTTTGGCCTCCCGAGGGGGCCGCGCTCATCTTCCTTCATAGCAAAATCATTGATTTTACGATGGTTTTGGGCTCACTTTGTCCTTCTCAGGGGGCAGCGCTTCTTTGCGCTTCTGACGAGGTCGCAAAGAGGCCCCAAGATGGCCTCAAGAGGCCCCCAGGAGCCTCCCAAGAGGCCTCCAAGAGGCCCCCAAGAGGCCCCCAACAGGCCCCAAGAGGCCCCCAAGAGGCCCCCAAGAGGCCCCCAAGAGGCCCCCAGAGGCCCCAGGAGGCCCACAAGAGGCCCCCAAGAGGCCCCCAAGAGGCCCCCAAGAGGCCCCAAGAGGCTCCAAGAGGCCGCCAAGAGGCCCCACGAGGAGCCCGAACGACTCACACCAGGACGAGGGGCCCGAACGACTCATACCACGAAGAACCCGAACGACGCACGCCAGAAGGAGGGGCCCGAACGACTCACACGACGAGGATACCGAGCGACTCACACCAGGAATAGGGTCCCGAAAGACTCACACAAGGACGGACGGGGCCGAAGGACTCAAACAACGAGGGCCCGCACCGCCGCCTTCGTCGTCGTCGTCGTCGACGTCGTCGTCGTCGTCGTCGACGCGGTTGTGGTCGTCGTCGTTGCGGTCGACATCGTCGTCGTCGTCGGGTGCGTCGTCGTTGTTCAGATCATCGCTGAAATCGTCCTCTCCGCTGAGTCCCTCTTGCCTCCCACCGCTTTCTCTCCCTCCTCTTCCGCGTCGTCCTTCTCCCGCTGCCCCCGCAAGAAGGATGTACAAGGAGGCGGGAAGAAGGAGGAACAGGGGAGATATGCGGGGCCAAGCGGACACACGCCTGAAAAACACAACTCTCGGCACGCTTCGCAAGAATTGCTGTTGTGGGATGGGCTGGTGGGGATACGCGAAGCGTAAAGAATTATTTTTAGTGTTACTATCACTATTACTATTACTATGAATATAGTGATAGTGTAAAGTATGTCTATATACACATGTTTCTGGCACCCCGCTCGCCCGCCCAGGAGGCTTTAGCGCACTCGGCGCAGCCATCATCAAGACAGGCCCCTGCCCCGACGCGCGCAGCACCGCGGCCGCGCGGCAGTCGAGAGCGAGGCCGAGCGCACCACCTCTGCGGCGAACTCGGGCCCCGCACGCCCTCAGCCTCACGCTGAAGATTTCTTCGAAAAGAGACCACCCTTGCCCTTGCCAGTGCCTTTCGCACTGTCAGAGCCAAAAGCAATATTTGCCACATTCTTGGCGGCCTTGCTCCTCGGGCCGCGGTCAAAGTCTAACTCGATGCCAACACCGCGAAACAACTGAGCCTCGCGAGCCTGCAAAAAAAAGGACTCAACATCACTGCAAGAGGGAATAGCGAATCTCCACTGAGACATGGTCACGTCGCAGTCCTGGGGTCCGTCGTCGCTCTTGGTACACTCGATCTTGGAGCACCGCGACGCCCTGAACTCCGGGGCCTGCACTGATGCCTGTTTGCCCACGACGGCGAACTGATCAAGGAGGGACTTGGCTGCCGCTGGCGCGCTCTCCGCCAACTCCTTCTGCCGCGCCCTCTCTTTGATATTCTCCAACATTTCTGCCCTCGACTCTGGTTTCTCTGCCACCCCCCACCCCCCACCCCCCACCCACCCACCCACCCACTCGGAAGAGCACGCCCGAAAACAATGCCACTGGTCTCTTGCTGAACGGGTTGCCCAAGTATGCCTCGCCCATGCCCTTCGCCGCCTTTCGGGCGCCCACGCCGGACTGGTCGCGCTGCTCGATGGCCCAGTCCATCACCTTCAGGAAATCGTTCTCGGACGGACCCTCGAGCGCGATGTTCTGGGCCCTGCTCTGGACCGCTCGCTCCTCGTCTAGCTGGAGCGTCAGCGTGGCCAGCGCCTCCATCAACTGAAGCTCCTGCACGCGCTCGCGGCCTGCCATGACCGCGTCCTCGTCCTTGTCCTTGCCGCCCGCTGGGACGGCATCGCCCTCTCCCCCGACCGCGCCCTTCTTCGCGTCCTTCTGCACGCGGCCCGCGAGGTCGTCTGCTGCTTTCCGAGTCGGGCGGCCTGGGGCGCCGAACATCTCCGCCCGACGGCGCAGGCAGCACAGGGGCAGGCGGCGGCGCCGACGAACCGCCTGAGAGAAAAGGGCAGCGGAGAAAACGAAGACGCTCGACCAAAGAATCTCGGCGGGCAAACTTGGCCGTGCAGTGAGGACACTCAGTAACACCACGGGGAATAGTGTCGAACGATTGGTGGGCCCTCGCAAGATGAATATGAAGCCCACGAGGGCCCGAGCAAATATAACCGCACTGAGGACATGGAATATCCTCAACGTCAGCATTCTCGGCCGGCGCAGCACGGAAGGACAAGCAAGGTGTGAAGGTAGACCGAGGTTCTCTCGCAAGCCACTCAATCCACGGCATAGACAGCACCCCTGATCCAGGATCGACACCTATCGAACGAGCACGAACTCGCGCCTCTTCTTTGGTTCCCCCGAACACCTGCTGGAGGTCATGGAGAAGCCTAACTTGCCGCTGGGTAAAATCAACCCGTGATCCTTCAAACTCAAACGACCCGAAAACAGCAGCACGGACAGCAACGGTGGGATCATCCCCCCGAGTACCCAGCAGTGGGTCGCCGCCATCGCCATGAAAAACTGGGGCGGCAATCTTCTGCATCCACAAACACCTCCGATCAAGAAGAGTAGATTCGGCACTGTGTACACCACAACGCTCACGCAGTTCATCAGAGGGCACTCCCGATATATGCACTGGGAGCCGTGCTATATGACGAAGACAACGCATCTGGAAACGCTCGAGCTTCTCGAGGCCTCCTGGACTGACGCGGCGCACCTCCATAGCGCACAGTAAGATAGAACGAACCTGCGCAACCCAGAGGCGAGCCTGCAACTTGAGGGGGGGGGGCCTTGGAGCGCCACAGACGAGTGGGAAGCCTATGGCGGGCAACCCGAGCCTTTTGAGCAAGAGCGTCGATCTCGACCAAGTCCATCCCAGAGATGTGCATCATAGAACCCAAATACTTGGCTGACGGCACGGCCTTGATGGGAACCTCAGGAGCACCAGGGGAGGACCTCGAAGCACGAGACGATACTTCCCCTGGCGGATCTGCCGGCTTAACGCTCTGGGCCCCGCTCCAAATGCCCCCCCGGAAACCTCATGCTTGGACAGGTTCACCCCGAACCCATCCTCAGACAAGATCTGACCCATGTTCGAGAGGAAGGGGGCGATCGCGTCAGCGTCGGTGAAAAGCTCCATCGCATTAAGATCACCCATGAAGACCCCCCCCCCCCCCCCCCCCCAATGACAACTGGTCGGGGAAACGAGCGTCTGAGACCAAGAGACTCTCAAGCGTTGTGTCAAATTTCACAGTCAAAGAATGGTCGCCTCGTTCGCTCTGAATCCTGCGGACGGTGAGATCGCATAATAAAATAAAACACAACGGGCCCTCGGAACAGCCCTGCCGAACACCCCGCGGGCTCCGCAGTCGTCGAACGATACGGCCTGTTTCGCATCGCGAATCAAAATACATGCGCCGTCGTGGATATCCCCTAGAAACAGCACGAGGCCCCCCGAAGAAAAAGAGCACGCATCGCCCCCCAGAGCTTACATCGATCGACATTGTCAAAGGCATTGGACAGATCGAAGAGGCCTCGAATTAAGATGAATGGCTTTTTGTCGTGCCGCTTGCTATTGGCGCTCTTGGCCGCAACGGCTGCCACCCTCTCGATGATCGCCAGCATCTGATCCATCCCCTTTGCCTGGCCCGCGGAGGTAAACCGCTTCACCATCCACGAACGACATCGGGGCTTGGCTAAGAGAAATCATGCCAGTACTCGCAATGGCCAAAGGGGGAGAAATCGCATCTCTAGCAAGTTTGAATAGCTCTGCTGCCGCACCTCTGAACAACTTGGTTTGGGCCGGCGCCAAAATTGCAAGACCCGCCTTGAAGTTCGGCATTGCGTTGATCAGATCCTCGACCATGTGCTCCGCGAACACAAAGGCCGCAGGCCCGCGGTGCACAGGCTGACTGGGATGCAGCACAGTGTTTTCTTCTCGTAGACGGGGGGCATCTTCGTGCAGCGGCAGGTCGATCGCATCAAAAATCTCTTTCATGGCAACAATTTTGGCTTCGATCTCACCCTGCGATCTCCAGCAGCACTGCCCGCTCAACTTTAGCGTCGCAGCAGACGACGCTGTCTTCGGCGCCAAGACTTGCACTAGTTTGCATGCTCCGCGGGAATCTCCACATTCAAATAGTCCCCCAGCGTCTTTTGCGAATGCCTCAGCGCTTTGTTGTTTTACCAGCTCTGATCGCAGCTTTAGCTCTCTTTGTAGCCAGTCGATACGGATGACACACATAATACCGTTGAGCTGAGTAGGCAAGGGTGCGCATGAACTCTCCATCGGCAAGAATATTCATCCATCTGCGTTTTTCGGCAATCAACTTCAACGTGTCTTCACGCAGCACATTCAAACGGCGGGGCGGTTGGGCGCCAGGTTGAAGCAAGAACCCAGCATCCCTGGCCGAACACACAAGTGCGCCCTCGATAAAGTCATACTGCGCGACAGGAGCGGAATGAGATGGGAACGAAACAACTCGCTCAGAGACCGCACTGCGAGACTTAAGAACCTTCTGAGCAGTATCTGATAACTGGGATGTCTCAGGTGTCTCATCAACGTTATTGATAATCTTGACTGCTTCGCCCAACAAGGGCCTGTTCCAACGAGGAATGGACTTCGGCTTCCGTGACGGTCTCCATGGTGGCAAGCGGAAAAGGCCATCGATGGGACGGTGGCCGCGGTAACCGCCAAGGCTGACAGGAGATGAGTAATCCACCACCGCTGATGGACCTGGACATCTTGAGAGCCGACACGCCAGAAAACTACTACGGAAACGGGAACCATTCGGATGCATCCATGTCCAGTGGAACTGCCGATTCGAGTTGAACATGCTGAGCGCTTTCAAATTAAAATCACGGGGGACCGCTGTGAGCTCGAAACCGTTCGCATTCAAAGTCGGCTTACTAGCACGGTGTCCGCCAAAACTGATATCAGGAGGCTCGCACTTCAAATCGCCATTATTACCAATACCCAGAATAAGAGTCGAACGCGTATGCTGCGTAAGACTGCTCAATGCAGTACTCATGCTCTGCCAAAACTGCTTTTGATCGTCCTGAAGTTCATTCTGGCCAGGCTGGACTGAAAAAAGGAGCATTGCCTGACATGAGATGAAGGTCTCTCTCGAGCCGTTCTCGACCACATCTAAGACGAATGCCCCCCAACTTTCCAGACAGCCAAGTATGTTTGCAAACCAAGGGGTCGGAGCCGAACATGTCGGTGTCCACACAAATCATCAAAGCGTCTCTAGACTGAGGTGTGGATCTTGGAAAAGGAACAACACGGTAATCCTGACATAACCATTCAATATCAATATCCGTCGACGTGCCCTGCAACAGCAAAATATGGATCCCTGCATCACGGGGCAGTCGCAGAAGTTCGTTGATAGGCCCAACAACTCGTAGACTCTCACAATTGTAGGTACGAGCCCGTACCTATTGTACATCATCACATACCTCAGCAGGTCGCTGACGTCGTGGTCTCTTAGTGTCGGTAGCAAGCGGCAAACCCAACAAATTGGAGGCTCGGGACTTCGTGCCAAGAGCCACGTGCACGCTCTGGAGTGTAGCGTAATCGGCGAGCCGGGCCGCCTGTGCAAGATCGTACTGTCGGCCTTTGTACCGACACGCACCGTTCAAAAACAGACTGCGGATGGCTCGCCTCGTCGACCACTTTGCAACGTTCATGCCCGTGTTATCCAGCTGAGTACTCGTCATATTGAAAGTATGCTGGATGCGCGGCCTGTGGGCTCAGACCGCACCCTTCGGTTCCCGCCAATCACTAAGGTGACAGAAGATTCTCCATCGGCGCCCAGACTTGGGACTGGGACCCTGGGCTCTGGTGCGTCGCTCGCTCCCAGAGAAGGCCGACCTGCTCGGCAAAGAGTACTGAACCAGTACAGCAGCGGTCGGCCCCCCCGGGGGGGGGTATCCCCAGGTGGGGCCTTATACATATGTGTATATATATATATATATATATATATATATATACATCCCCGACCCTGTCGGCGTTGTGTGAGGGAGTGAGGGCTTTTTCGTTCGCATCGGCTTTCTTCCCTGCTCGATTCTCTAGCCACATCCAGCTTCCACTCACCGTTCTCCGATCTCCGTCAGAGAGTCCTCTCCTTGCCATGCCGTGCCAAGCGAGGATTGAACGTCGTCAATACTTCGAAAGGAGCCCCTTCCCCCCTTCCCCCCCCCGTCCCGGGGGGGGGGGGGCGGACCGGGGGGGTCCCGGGGGGGGTCCCGGGGGGGGGACCCGGGGACCCCCCCCCAGATCCGACTCCCCTGGCAGCCTTCGAGAAAGCCCGGAGGGCGTCGCGAGGAGGTTCTCGTCCTCCTCCTCATCCTCCCCCCTTCCTCCTCTCCTCCTCCTCCTCCTCCTCCTCCTCCTCCTCCTTCTCCTGCTCCTCCTCCCCCTCCCTTCTCTTCCTCCTACTCATCATCATCATCCTCCTTGTCCTCTTCTCCTACTCCTCTTCCTCCTCGCCTCCTCCACCTCCTCCTCCTGCTAGATGTTCCTCCTCACCTTGTTCCTCCTGCTCCTCCCGCTCCTCCTGCTCCTCCTCCTCCTCCGCCTTCGCCGTCGTCCCGTCCCCACCTCCTCCTCCTTCCTCCTCCTCCTCCTCCTCCTCCTCTTCCCTCCTCCTCCCCTCCTCTCCGTCCTCCTCCTTCCTCGCACCTCCTCCCAACTCGTCTCTTTCTCTCTTTCTTCTCCTCCTCCTCCTCCCTCCCAACTCGTCCTCCTCTCCTCCTCCTCCTCCTCCTCCTCTCCTCCTCCTGCAATCTCCTTTTCCTGCTCCTCTCTCCTCCTCCCTCCTCCTCCTCTCCTCTCCTCCTTTCCTCCTCCTCCACGTGTTCATTATGGTCAACGTGTTCTCCTCCTCCTCCCTCCTCTCCTCCTGCATCTCACATCAATCCTCCTCCTCCTCTTTTCCTCCGCA